GTGCCCTCGCGGTCTCCACAGCTAATACACAGATCATCTCTCTTGCCCACCCAAAGCTGAGTGTAACCAGCTCATGGCTGTCTGTCCATTGCATTCCCCTCTCACTTGGAGAAGCAACTGAGTCCCCTCCTCCTGAAACAGAAGAGGCTAACTCTCAGTCCAGATCTGCTTTGTGATGCCCAGAATGGGCTGGGCACTGTGCTGAGCTCCAAAGGGTATAGAGGTGTTGGCAAGAGGGACTGATACATCTTCCAAGGAGACTAAGGAAAGGGTTCTTGGAGGGGATCTTAAAGGCCACTTTGTGGAGGAAGGGCAATCTGGGCAGAGGAGACAGCCTGGGCAAAGACCAGGGGTCAGGAAAGTTGAGTGAGTGGCAAGGAGCTAGGGTGGCTGAGGATCTGGGGGGGTCCTGGGGAGCACTTGACAGTGAGAGGCTCAGGAGTAGGTTGGGCCACATGGAGAAGGAATCGAACAGCACTTCAGAGCTGTGGCTGATCCCAAGGGCAGCAGGGAGTATGGGAGGCTTCAGGTTACATAGGAGACAACCCTCTTAGTGAGAGCAGGCTGTGTAGGAGGTGGGGGAGACCAGCAGCCAGGGGCCGAGGAGGCTGCTGTGGGGGCTGTTAGGATGGGGAAGGGGGCCAGCTGGCCACATAGGATGAGGTGTGCAGGTGACTCCACATAAGTGGAGGGGCCAATCTCAGCTTGAGTCAACTTCAGGGAACTCATGTGAGACACAGAGGTGGGGGTACAAGGATAGGTTTCTGTAAGAAGAGCCCAGCTGGGTGGGGTGGAGCTGGGGCCACTGGTGATCCTGCCCCAAATAGGAAGCTTCCTGGAGGAAGTGTTCAGAACAGGTTGTCATCAGGCTGGAGTGAGGTTTGGAAATGAGACAGCCCCTGCCCCCACTAACAGTGAGCAGGCTTAGGATAGGGGGAGTCATCTGCAAGGGCTTTGGCCCTGGAGTGTAGGCGCTGGAGTCAGGAGGCTTTAAGGAGGGGCCGCAAGGTCAGGCAGGTGGAGCAGCCCATTGAGAGGGAGCCATGGGCACCCAGGTCCCTGCCTGTATCCCATCAAGGCCTGATGAGGTTGGGGCAGCCTTTACCATCTTCCCCAGCTCTGCAAACTGTGGTGGAACTGGGCCAAGATCAAAGGAGAGAGATGGCAGGCATACCTCTCCCCTCCCTGAGCTTCTGGTTTTCCGTCTGAGAAATGTGCTGAGTGGTCCCCGAGGACCCTATAGCCCTGACCCATGACAGCCAGTGGTTCCCTCCTCCCTGCCCTGGCCCATGAGTGTGGGCTGTCCTGGGCAGCCGGGGCAGGAGAGGGTCACCGTAACTCTGCACTGGGACTGCAGCAGCTATAATTAGCTCCCTGAGTCACTCCATAATCGCCGCTTCCTCACCTGCTGGACTCTCTCACTCCCTGGCCCTCCTCTCTCTGGGCTGGAGCTTCCTCACCTGGGAAGTGGGCTGTTCCTCCCCAGCTCTGACGCTGATTGAATAGCCAGGCCCAGGGGCCACAGAGAGGCCCCCACGGCTACTGGCTCAGCATCTGCGAGAGGCCCAGGCCCTGTCCTTCTCCAGCTCCAGGGCCACCTCATCCCATCCTGAACTCCCATCCACTCCTGCTCAGAAGAGCCACATCCTTGGGCCTGATGGGGGAGACAAGAGCCTCACCTCTGCCCCTCAGCTGCCATGAGATATTTTGCCTCCCTGGGATTCCCAAACCTCAGGGAAATGTTCCTGCGTCCATCAGAACCTGTGTTTTCACACACACACCGCAGCCAAGAGTCACGGCTTTGTTTCCCCTGCCAGAGACCAAGCTCCCTCCAACCCTCTCCCACAGCCTGTCCCCAAAGGGCAGACATGGCCTAGAGGACCCCTGAAGTCCACGCTCTGGGCTCTCTAGGGGCCTTGGAGGGCACTGGCGGCTATGCCCAGGGACAACTCACCTGGTGAGGTTCCAGGTGGTGGTGGCAGCCCTTGCTCGGAGATCCGGGCATGTCCGGGGCCCAAGGCCCCCCAGTCAGACTGTGGCTGAGGCAGCAGGAGGCTCTCATCGCAGGCAGAGGGATGGCTGGAATGAGGTGTCAGAGACAGAACTGGCTGGGCCACCTGCCCTGGGTGCCAGACAGGCCACACCCACCAGCCACAGCAGCAGTGCCCGCCCGCCCACGTGCCCGCATGAGTCAACCCACACCCACACAGCAGCCCCACCCAACCGGGGAAAAGGCAGGGGAGACAGCAGGTGCCAAAGCCAAAGCTCTGGTCCCAACTCTTCCCTCTCTTGTACGTGATGCTCGGCAGGCACTTCCTTTCACAGGCCTCAGTTTCCCCAACTGGGAAATAGGAATCATAATACCTCCTTCCCAAGGATGCCATGAGGAATTAAAGAGATCATGGAGGTGGGAGGACTTAATGAATGGCCAAGTGCCATGCCCTCACCCGTGGGAGGAAAGGTCACAGCCAGGGCTGACCCCAGGGCAGCCAGCCCCAAGACTTGTCACCTGTCCTTCAAAGTCAGTCCCTAGGATCAGGTTCCTTAGAGACAGAGGAGGTCCCCATTCAATGCTTCCCAACAGCAATCTTGCATCATGGACCTTAGTGACAGACAGCCTTGCCCCTTCCTGGCTGTATGACCTAGGCAAATCATTTCTCCTGAGCCTGTTTCCTCATCTGTGAAATGTGCATAATAACCCATCTTGCAAGGTTACCATGGGCTTAAATGACAGAGTGAGTAGAAAGGGCTACATCAAGGTCCAGAGCGCAGAAAGAACACAATAAGCAGTGACAGCTATTAGCTATTATTGTTTTTGTCATGTTGATTTATTCTCCCAGCAGCTGCCCAGGCCACCTTTCTCCAAGGCCAGAGCGTTGTAGGAAGACTTCTGCCCTCCCTTCTGGCCCAGGTGCAAAACGGGTGGAGCAAGGCTAGGATGGCCCTGCCTGCCTCTGCCTCACTCAGGAACTGCACATCGGCTCCTGCGGGCAAGACTGGACTCGGGTGGAGCAGGAAGTCTCTGCTGACTGGGATGGTGCTGGTGCCTGATGCAGCAGGGACTTCCCCGACGGCCATCAGGAGGCAAGCCCCTCAATCCCTCATCACTGCAACCTTCCAGCCTGGGGAGGAGGCAGGAGGCAGGGTCAGGCTTCTAGGCCACAGGACAGCAGGACCTGTGGCCAGCAAGGGGGCAGAACAGCCTTCCAGGTGTGGGTGAAGTGGGAGGCTGCTTTTGCAGTTTAAGTCAAGGGGGTCCTGAAGTTCCCACGCACAATTCGAGATCTTGTCACTGTGCCTGAACAGCTCCCCCTCTATTACTCGTAGACCCTCTCCTGATTCAGCCCCTCACCACCACCCCCAGCTTGCTTCTGACTGCCTCAGAATCCTGGAGATGAGAGTGTCACCAAATGTTTTTAAGTTTTCCTTGGGTTAGTACTTTTTCTCAGAGGCCAGGTGGGAACTGATTAAAGAGGCCCCATACCTGCCGCCCAAAGGCATGCAATGTGCCTTGCAAGACATAAATGAAGCCCCCTCTGCTGTGTCGAAGTAGGTTCAGTGACTATAACAAATGTACCACTCTGGTGCAGGTTGTCAGTAGTAGGAGAGGTTGGGTGGTGTGCAGACAGCGGGTATATGAGAACTCTCTGTACTTGCTGCTTAGTTTTGCTGTGAACCTAACACTGCTCTAAAAATAAAGCATGTTGATTTAAAAAAAGAAAGAAAAGAAAAGAAATGGGCTGGTTGCAGGTATTTCCTTCTTTAAACAACCCCAGGTTTACACAAAAGGTTTTGATCATTCATTTTCACAAAAGAACACCCACAGGATTCCTCCCAGCTCTGAGTAAGTTCAAAAGCTGATCCAATTTGCAGATATCTGACATCTACACAATGTTTTCTAAGGAAGGCCTAGGGGTAAGACAAGGAGTCCCAGGCCCACAGCAGGAAGCAAGAAACCTTCCCATCTCCCTTCTGGCCCAGGGATAGGCTGGCATGCCCCAGCCCATTCTCTGCCAGCCAACCTGACACAGCAGTTAAGAACCAGGCTTTGAAGTCTGACTGCCTGGGGTCAGAGCCAGGCAATGCTACTTAGTGGCTGTGTAAGCTTACTAATTTGTTGGGGCCTCGATTTTCTCATCCATAAAATGGAACTAATAATAGCTTTTTCATGAGCTTAAAGGAAAACACACATCAAACACTTTCATAAACATTCCACACATCTTGGCCATCAGTATTCTTACTCAATGCTCACTTGTCCTGGTCTGTCCATAACTCACTTCACACATGGGCACCTCATGGACCAGCCCTGGGGCTCCTCTGTCGTGCCTCGTGTGTTGAGGTAGGTGTGATGCTGGAGAACATGGAGGAGGGGGCCCAGTGTTTCCTCCAGAAACATCTCTCATGGTAGGGCCAACCCCCAGCTCAGCCAAATCATCCATCCTTTCATGAACAAACATACAACAGTTCCATGGCCAGGCAGCTCCGTCAACATTCCACAGACATTACCACAGTGCACCCATGTCTGGGACAGGTCTCTCTTCTGGATTATTTGTTTCTTAAATTCTATCCATAAAGGAAGGGTCAGCAAACTTTTACGTTAAAGGCCAGATAGTAAATACTTTAGGCTTTGTGAAATATTCAGTCTCTTCTGCAACTGCTCAACTCTGCATTGTAGTGCGGAAGCAGCCACAGACAATATGTGAGTGAATGGGTGCAGCTGGGTTTTAATAAAAGTTTGCTAACACAAACTTGTGACAGGCCGGATCTGGCCCATGAACCATAGTTTCCTCACTATGGTAGGTGTGGGTATGAAGGAGTTCCCTTCTCCATGAGTAATAACTAAAGAGTGACCAGAGGCTGCTAGCCGCATAGGGTAGTGAGTGTGCATACATACACACACACACACACACACACACACGTGCATAGACTGCACAGAGCCAATTATCCTTGCCAGCCCAATGACTGGCACAAACATCACACTTGACATGATATATATGTGTATATATATGTTTATTTGGTGGATGGCAGGATGGAAGGGGATGGAAGAACGTAGCACTGCAGGGGAGCAGGATTGTGGTCACTACAAATGGAAGATCATTGAAAAATTCTCACCATGTGGCTTTGGGATGTGGTCTGCACTTTTATCTGAACTGCAATAGAGCTAATATATTTGAGACTGTGATATAACACACGGCAGGATGAAGTCACTCCTGGAACAACCTGATTCTGTCAGAGGTGGGAATGGGACCAGCCTCCCCCACCTTCTCTGGGGAGTAAACGTCCTCATCCCCAGACCACTCTGGGCAGGCGAGAGATTAAGCACAATACAGAGAGGAGGGGGCTTTGGCATTTTACATCAAAGGCAGTTTTTTGTTCTCAAAGGTGTTTTTCTAGGTTTCATTGACTTTTACCCCCAGTGATATAAAAAGGAAGAAAACACGGGCCTAACGTGTCCCAATAGAGATTTACCATTTGCACTGTTTGATAAAGTCAGTAAAAACTTGGAAGCCAGATCATTTCCTGTTGAGAGCTTCACTTGGGGACAGTGATGGTTGGATGCGATCTCTTCCTGTGCATCTGACAGTGCTTCCCTCAGCTTGTCCACTGCAGTCTTGGGAAAGTACCCAGCCAGACTGTGGTCAGAGCGCTGTTCCCAGTAGCAGGGGGGGATCCCAAGGCCCAGCACTGAGCGCGTCCTGCATGGGGTCCCTCACTTCTCCCCTGAAGCAGCAGAATCCTTGAAGACCTCAGCATCCTCTGGTTTCAGGGACCCTGCAAATTGCCTCAAGTGAACTTCCTCCGGCTGGGCAGGATGCCTATCTCGAGTACTGGTGTCTCTTAAAAGGGGAACAAGGGCAAAGTTCTTCCAGTTTCTCCCTGAAACTGAAGGGCAAAACATCATTACTACTGCGATGCAGCAAAACAAACATTTATTTGTTGGCCTCACAAATCTCCAGGTTAAAGGAGATCCAGGCAGGAGGGTGCTTCCTGAGATACCTGGACTCAGGAGGTGCAATTTCCTCTCCCCTCAGCGGCTCAAAGAGCCTCATCCATATGTTCTCTTCCTGCAGCCCACCCTGACTTGCTTGCAACCCTATGAGAGTCTATCGCTTGCTCCTCTCGGCTCCATTTCCTCCCTGCCCAAGTGGGAGGCACAGGAGGTTTCCACAGAGCACACTGGACCCAGCCACGTGAGCTGCTCAACACCAGCTCAGCTCCAGGGTGATGAACACCAGCCAAAGAATCAGGATTTGGAGTCCAGACCCCACCAGGGCATTTGGGAACAGTGCCAAGGGAAGAATGGTGACACTGGGCCCCAGGTGGAGACCTCAAGTACAGCCCAAAATCCCAGGAAGCTCCTGAGGAAGACCCAATTGTCATCCCCATGGCCACCTCTAGCCTCCAGCCACCTCAGAGAAATGACAGCCAAGAGGGAAAGCTATGTGTGCTTTCCTTTCATTTGCCAGAGCCCTGGTTAGCCAAGCCCTCTGGTTGGCCATCTTGGGTCTGAACTCTCTGGAAAACCAGCCTAAACTCACACTTCCCAGCCTCAGGCCATGATCCAGGCCCCTCTGCTGGTGTCCAACACTGTCCACAGCTCAAAGGCATCAGGAATTCCAGAGGCTGGTCCCATCATGACTTCTCCAGCTAAATTCTTCAGTCCTGGTGTTTCCCCCAGGCCTGCACGCTGACACCAGCCTGTCCCCCAACCCCAGTTTGATTCCAAATACCAACTGCTGAAGGAGAATCCCTCAGGAAACTCAAGCATAGAAGCAGGAGAGCTCCATAGGGAGATTGGCCAAGTGCTCACTGGGATACCATCTGTGGGTTGGCTGGGTGGTCGTGATACCCAGCCTCAGGGACTGCATGGCTTAGACCCAGTTCCAGGGCCCTGAAAGGAGGCATGGGACTCCCAGTGCCCACTTGCTGCAGTTCCAATGCTCCCCCTAGCTCCTCTACTCACCACTTTTCTTCCCTGGCCCATCTCCCATCCGTTCCCTCACCCCTCCCAATCACACATGCTGTTTGGCGAGGAGAGGTCCTTGTTATCTGAATTATGTGACTATTCATTACTAGAGTTTCTACAGTTACAAAGTTGGGCAGGGAAGCAAAACCCTCAGGAAATATTTAATAATTAATTAAAGGTGTGAAATCAAGGAACCCCACCCATCCCCCATCCCTGCCCCATTTCACATGGACGTGTGTGTCCCTGTCACTGGGCCAAGGTCTTTAATATCATAGTAAGTGTGCAGTGCTGTAAACAGCCAGCAATGTCATGCAAACATAATGCAAATCGACTGCAAAGTGAAACAGGAAATCTTGTAAAAGATGTGGGATTTCATGAAATCAATTAGTGATATTAGAAAACTGCTCAAATCACATGCAAAGCCATCTTCAAATAGCTCTCCAGCAAAGTTTGACCAGTTAACAGTTAAAGAAGAGATAATCAATAAGTATTATGACATGACATAGGGAGTGCTTTCAATTAGACTCATAGGAACAAATCACAGTATTGCAGGAGGACTACTGGAAAGCTAATGAAGTGCAGGAGTAGTTTTCCAAAATGAGACTTTTGGTAGAACAGATTTCTACTTCCAGCTATAGTGGGGTATCAAGTACCAGCCTAACCATTCTGCTGTCAACAACCATAAAACTGGGCAAAATACATGCAGCTAATGTTTTTTTTTGTTGTTGTTGTTGTTTTGTTTTGTTTTGTTTTGTTTTGTTTTTTCAATTTTATTTTTGTTTTTGTGAGTTACAGTGCATTGTTTCAATACATGCATATACTGCACAATGATTCACTTAGAGTAGATAACAGTTTTGTACCTGTTAGTACACCACTTCTCCCCTTCCACCTGCCTCCCAGCCTCTGGTAACAATTATTCTACTCCCTACTTCAATGAGAACCACTTTTTTTTTTAGAGTCCTCAAAAGAGTGAGATCACGTGATATTTGTCTTTCTATGCCTGATTTACTTCACTTCGCATATTTGTTTCCAGTTCCATCCATGTTGCTGCAAATGGTGGGATATTGTATTAGTCTGTTTCTGTTCTTCTAACAATATACCTACAGCTGGGTAATTTGAGAGAAAACAAAATTTATTGCTTACAGTGGAAAGTCGACAGTCCAGGGAACACATCTGGTGAGGGTCTTCTTTGGTAGTGGCTTTACAGCAATGCAGAGGTCTCACAATGGCAGAAAATGGCAGAGCAGAGAGAGAGACTCTCACAGGCTCTCCTTTTAAAGCCCTCAGAACCACGCCCTGACCACTATTATTAATCCATTCACTAGGGCATGGTCCCACAATCTAATCACCTCTTCCGGGCACCACCTTTCAATTACCGTAATAGGATTTCCCACTCTCAGCAGTTATGGTGGGGATTTAAGATTCAGTGAGGTTGGGGGTGGGGGTCTCATCCAACCTACAGCATTCTGTCCCTGACCCCCCAAAACTCATGTCCTTTTCACATACAAATACATTCATTTCATCCTCAAAGTCTTGACTTGTTTCAACTCAAAAGTCCAGAGTCTCAAGGTCCCATCTGTGAAATTGAAACAAGTTATCTACTTCCGGATACAATGGTGGGACAAGCATAGTGTACATATTCCTGTTCAAAAAGAGAGAGAAAAAGGCCTAAGAAAGGTGTAACAGGTCCCAAACAAGTCCAAAACCCAACAGGACAGGCATCAGATCCTACAGCTGGTGAATCTTGTACCTTGAATCTATGTTCAATGTCCTCTGCATGCTGGTGCAGGGGTTGGGTCCTCAAGTCCTTGGGCAGCTCCACTCCTATGGCTTTCCTGGTTTCTGGCCATGCTTTAACTCTTCCAGGCTGGCATTGCACGCCAGTAGCTCTACAGATCTGGGGCCTCCATGGTGGTCTCACTCCCATGGCTCCACTAAGCATGGCCTGGGTGGGGTTTTTCTGCTGCAACTCTGACCCCACATTTCCTCTTGGCATTGCTCTAGCAAAGGCTCTATGACGTGAATCTGCCCCTGTGACAGATCTCTTCCTGGTCCCTCAGACTTTTCTTTTTTTTTTTTTTTTCCTTTTTGTCTTTTTTACTGACCGGTAACGGGATCGCAACCCTTGGTGTTGCGCCTGCACCACGCTCAGCCAGTGAGCGGGAACCGGTCTCCACATGGGATCCGAACCCTCGGCGGGAGCGCCGCCGTGCTCCCAAGCGGCGCACTCTCCAGTGCGCCACCAGGCCGGCCCCCTCAGACTTTTCTATACACCCTTTGAAATTGGGGAGGAGACTCCCAAGCCTTCACAGCTCTGGCATTCTGCAAGCCAGCAAACTTAACACCATGTGGATTCTGCCAAGGCTTCTGGCTTATATTTTCCAAAGCTGCACATCCAGCCACATCTGGGGCCAATTTAGCCACAGCTGGAGCAGCCAAAGCAGCTGGGGTGCTTGTGTGGGGAGCAGCATCCTGAGGTGGCCTTGGGCAGGGAGCCTGTGGAGGGCACCTTAGGCCTGTTCCCTAAGACCATTCTGTCTCCCTAGGCCTCTGGGCCTGTAATGAACACAAAGCCTCCAAGATCTCCGAAATGCTTTCAAGGTCTTTTTCCCTTCTCTTGATAATCTCTCTCTTCTATGCTAATCTCCTTGGCAAACAGTTGCTGGCCTGCATCATTGCATTTTTCTCCTGAAAATGCTCTCTGCTTTTCTACCATGTGGCCAGGCTGTGAATTTTCTATATCTTTACACTTGGTTTAGCTTTTAAATTCTGGCTTTATATCATGTCTTTGCCACCATAACTCAGGATAGGTTGTTGCAAGTAGCCATGCAGCTTCCTTTTTTTTTTTTTTTTTTTTTTTTAAAAAAAAAA